AATTATAGAGTTGCAAAAATTCCCATAGCATTAATCAGAAGACGAGATGGCGCGCATACGTAGATTTCGACGAATTCTTGTCGGGCCAGTACAGTAATATGGTAACAGGGTAGAAGATAAACATGTCAGCGATAAGAAAAATAGATAAAGGTTCTACTTAAAACACAGGCGGGGTGTGGGAATGTGGGGGGGGGGTGGGGGTAATAGCAGTCAGTCTCAGGGGTGGGGTGAGAACGAAAGAGCGCGAAGGGTAGCAGCGTTAATCGACCTTCGACCACTGTAGGCGCGGAGTCTGAACGTGGTTCTTCTGTGCGCATAAGATTGGCGTTCGTAGCCTAATGGCGGCTACTTCCGCTGTCGCTAACAGGCGCTGGCCTAGTTGTTTAGGGTAGCTCGATGGGAACTTAGAAATTACACGGAAAGCTTCGTTGGGGTCCACACGATGTCCGGAATCGACAACATGCGCGAGATTGGCGCTGTCTATTCTTTTAGTTTCACCTTTTGCCAGTCATGCGGGAAGGTGTTCCCGTAATCTCTTGGATAAGCTCCGACTCGTGCGACCAATATAACCTGCTCCACAGGAGCAAGTGAAGGAATAGATGCACATTGAGGTGGTCTGCGGTGGCACGCTTATTAATGCTACTTGTAAAGTGAATATCAATTTGTTAATTGTTAAATAGTGTCGAATTTTATGTGAATTATCCATTTAGACAGTATCGTATCAGCACGCTTTATTAATGACAGGGATAAACTAAATATCTATTTTCAAATTTTTAAAAAGTGTCCACATTTATGAATTGTCTAGACCGTCATATTGCCCAATTGACACTGTCGCATCAGCACGTTTATTGATGCCATTTATAAGGTGATTAAATATTATGAAATTGTTAAATGTGTCAAATTATAACATTTGTCCAGAAAGTGAATTATCCAATTAGACAATATGGGGCCAGCAGGCATATTAATGCTACTTATAAAGTGAAATATTATATTTAACTTGTTAAAATGTTTAAAATTATATGATTTGTCCAGACTGCGAAATATCTATTAGGCAGTACCGCATCAGCATGTTTATTAATGCTGCTTGTTAAGTGAATATGTATATATAAATTGCCAGAACGTGTCCAATTATATGACATGTCCAGAACGTGAATTATCAAATTAGACAGTATGGCATCAGCACGGTTATTGATGATATTTATAAGGTTAA